CCCACACACAGTCGCCCCTTAAACCCGGCCAAACTTACATAACCCCTCCCAATCCTGTCACTCTCACCCACTGCAACCATACCAAACTCCTTGCTTTGCCACACCTACCCTATTGCATTAACCCCCCATCAACCCTGTCAGACTCACATTCTCTTGCACTGTCACACTCACCCCAAACCCTGTCACACATAGGTAGACAATGTCAGATACAGTCATATATACATACACCGCCACTTATGTATATATGACTGCAAGGCTATGTAACCATACCCCTCAGTTATGTATAAACGATTGGCATAATTGCTAATTAAATTTGTTTATTGCAAATTAAGTTAGTTTGCATATTATGCCATAACTACAGTTAGAGAGATCACAATGCAGCGGCACAGGGAGCCGCGACACTGCAAGCCTCTGAACGATGAATACAGAGACTAGCTCTCTGTATCCAGCTCTGCAAGCTTGTCCTTCAATACAACTACAGCACCTTATACACACAATGCAACCCCTATTTTTAACTTTAGGTGTTAGTGGGGACCTCATGTTTGAGTTTCGCCTAAGGCCTCACAAAGTCTAGAGCCGCCACTGTTCATGGCAATTAAGGCTCATTGATGCACATGAGGAGCGAAGGCTAGTCCGTCTGGTCTGATTACACAGAAGAGCTACTGTAGCTCAAATGACAGAAAAACTTAATGCTGGCCATGATAGAAAGGTACCAGAACACACAGTGCATTGCAGATTGATGCGCATGGGATGCGTGCCCATAATTACCCCTGTTCACCGCCGGAAAGTGCGTTCAATGGACACTTGACTGTCAGAACTAGACCATGGAGCAGTGGAAGAACGCTGGCTGGTCTAATGAATCACATCGTCTTTTAGATCAGGTGGATGGCCAGATGTTTGTGTGCTTTGTTTACCTGGAGAAGAGATAGCAGCAGGGCGGCATAGGCAGTGTTCTTTGGGCAATGTTCTAATGGGAAACCTTAAATCATGGCATTCATGTGGATGTTTCGTTAACATATATCACCTATCTAGAGTTTGTTGAAAACATAAACAACCCTTATTTTCATTGGTGTTCCCTGATGGCAGTGGCCTATTTTTAAGTGGGATAATGCATCCTGCAACACTGCAAACTTTGATCAGGAATGGTTTGAGAAACAAGACAAAGAGTTCAATCTGATTCAGCATCTATGGGATCTGCTGGAACAACAAATCCGATCCATGGAGGCCCCATCTAGCAACTTGAAGACTTAAAGGATCTACTGATAATATGTTGCTGCAAGACCTACAGAGGTTTTGTGGAGTCTATGCTTCAGCGAATCAGAACTGCTTTGGTAGCATGAGGGGGACATACATGATATTAGGCAGTTGGTTGTAATGGTATGGCTTATCAGTGTGTCAATCTTTTAGCAAAAGTAACAGAGGTTAACACCTCGAGACGGACAGAAGTATACTCATTGTTTTAATTTTGCATTGCATTGCAGATCCTGAGCTTTTAATTATAACAGAACAGCAGTGTAACCACCCCGCTTAGCAACCCAAGCATTAAGTTCCTAGTATAAACAATTTAGTTATTTTATATTCCTCACTCTAGCTTGAAAAGGTTAACAATTGGATTGACTTGTATTAACAAACTCGTTTTTGCATCTGAACGATTGATGGTCAGTCAACATAAAGAACTGTGAATTTTCTGTAAATGAAAACCTAATTTCCTGTTCTTTTCTGTGTTGTAATATGGATTATTCTTGTAATATTTGCTTTGTGTAACCAGATAAGACTTTTCCCAGCTCTTTGTATTTTCTCCTCCAAGATTTTCCAAGCTGTGTGGCCGTCTGCTTCTTATTTCCTACAAGACTCTTAAACACTCTGGAACACTCCCAGAGCTTTGTTGGCGAGCTGCTGAGAGCATTATCCAGACTGCAAGTCAGGGACTTGGGGAGCTATGTTAGAAGTCACCACTGGGTTTCTGGAGTATGGTGTTCCACCCAGTGTTCACTTGAACATTTTCAGAGTGGATATACTAGTGAATGAACCTATCTTGTGGTTGACCTCAGATTCAGGATGCTCCCCTAGTGGGGCCAATCCTGAGTAGGAGGTAAGGGCTGTGTTCTAAGCCAGAGACTAGTCACAGTACACGCTACTACAAGCAATATATATTAAATAAATGTACATTTTTTTTAACAAAAAGAACTCAGTAGTAAAGGGATTAATAATAAGACAATTTAACCATTTACGAGAATTGTACAGGACTATCCTAAACTAAATGAAACCAAGAATCAAATAGCACCTGAGGGATATAATATGGGCCTAGTGCTTCTTGTAGACTGCAACAAGATATGATACATGATATATATATATATATATATATATATATATTGATTTAGATATTTATTTTTTGTCTTTCAAATTGTATCTTTAACTTCAGACACTGTTTTTTTTTCTTTTTGGACACACACAGGGCCAAGCTGACCTCCTCAGACATGCTAAGAACGAAGCTATGGACCATGTGAGGCAGATACATCACGCTGGCCAATCCAGTGGCATTGGCCGCACCAGCTCTCACTCTCCTTCCCTTGACATCTTCAGGCCACGGGCAGCCCTGGAGCCAATTCCTGAGACAGACACTGGAGGCAGCAATGGTTCTTGAGAATGCTTTTGAACAGCACTATAGCAATGAACTTAATCCATTTTGGCAGCTAGAATGGCATGAAACATATAGCTTTCTACATTGTTATTGTTGCAGGTCAGTCAGGCAAATAGTGGATAACATTTAGGATTTCGCCAGTACTGACCCCATTAACAGGAGTCCTGAGACCCAACTGTGGCACATTTTCTATAGACTTAACCTAATAATTACTGCAAATTTTCCCCAGTTAAGAGAAGCATTAATAGATTTTCAACAGAAGGCCTATGTTGTATTTTTTTCGTTTCATTTTGGCTCAGTAACAGACCTTCATCACTTTCCCCAAAGTCACAGCTTTCCTAAAATCATGATATTAAGGCCATGCAAAAAATCAAGCAAAATCACACGTCTGCTTACATCATCTGTGTGCCCACCTCTCTGTCCATCTTTATGGAGTGAAATCACTTTAGATTGAAATATATTTGTTTCAGATTGACTTGTTTGTATGTATTTTCCCACGAGAACAATAGTTCAGGTAGAAGAATTCACGTTAAACAATTCCATAGCATAGGCGATATAAGCACACAACACACAAAATGGGAAGCTCTATAATAACAGGTCATATTATATTGTTCTATACTATAGCTAGTTAGTCTTCCAGCTGTTTTATGACTATACTGGAGAAGCAAATTTGACTTGGACCAATCAGCTGTCCAAACCAAAAGGCTCCCGACAAAACCTGAATAATTAATGGACTGGCTATATTATAAAAGTTAATGTAGCAAAATGGGACACAACGAAGAACAGTGAATTGTTCATGTCCGGTGGGCTGGTAACATAGCATATGTTTCCATGTTTATTTTTATTCTTAAGTACTACAAATTTCTAGACTCTCAGGGTAAGGAGCTCGAAGAAGGGATCTGGAAATATTTTCTTGAGCTTAGCATTGCAATACAATTCAGGTTTCTCAAGTCTTTCACATAGCAACATTTCTTTGCTGTTTTTTGGAGTCTCGTTGGAGTTAGTTTTGTCATGTTTTATCACATATTTAAAAAAAAAAAATAATCATCACTGAAAAATTTTGTAGAGTTGATATAAATATATATTCATTGGAGCTGTCCTCTCTCTATTCCATCACAATAAAGTTCGGACTTTGGAAACCTTAAACAATGCTTGAAAAAGACGTGCTCTCAAAACAGCTGCAAATATTAAGTAGCTAAATTGCAGTGACAGCATGGGGCATTTTTTATTATCTTTAAAGGGCTATATGTACTCCCAGAAAAAAAAAGTTTTACTCAAGCATCTCAAAATCTATATGAGGAAATATATCTGGAGCAGCAATTTTTCCTTTATGTGAGCAAGTAAAGAGTCTCTTTGAAAAGTAAAGGGAGACAAACAGTACCTGGTTTATGAAATCTGGTTATGTAATCAACTAAGGTTGCATCCACATCTCAGAAGAATGTGTTTATTTTAAATTTAAGTTTTAATTGCTACAATTACGTTCTAATAGAAGTTGGTAACATATCATTAGAGCACTTCACCGCAAGTTGTAACAAATGTGTAATGGTGTGGAAAGCACAAATTGCTAAAAAAAAACAAACAAACAAAAAAACATTGACAAAATAATTAGTATGCACAAAACAGTTTAATCTACTATTAGTCTATATTTGTGTGTGTGTATGTATATATATATATTGTGACAAAAGTACTCCTTTCCTTTGGTACCTTATTCTGGAATCAGTCTGGAATCACAGTCTTTTCAGGCTCCGGAGACACTTCACACTCTAGATAAGGTAAAATGACTTGCTCTTTTTATCGTTGTTCCAAAATTCAACAGTATGCAGTAAAGTATAACAAATTAAAGAAAAAACTAAATCCTTGCTCTTCTGAGCACTAACTTAACAAAATAATAAACTAACTGGGTTGAGCCACTCTAAAATGTGCATTTTTATCACACAGCACAATGCCACAGATGTCGCAAGTTTTGAGGGAGCATACAATTAGCATACTGACTGCAGGAATGTCCACCAGAGCTGTTGCCCGTAAATTGAATGTTCATTTCTCTACCATAAGCCATCTCCAAAGGCGTTTCAGAGAATTTGGCAGTACATCCAACCGGCATAACAACCACAGACCATGTGTAACCACACCAGCCCAGGACCTCCATATCCAGCATATTCAACTCATGCAGGTAATCAACAGCTTGCACGGGTTCACAAATCCGGACATGAAGTGAAAATGCTGAACATCTCAACAATGCACTCTGGGACAGCCAAATTTCAGCTTTCCATTTTGGACCTCTCAAAGTCTTCTGAGACCAGCCACCCGGACAGCTGCTTCAACAATCGGTTTGCATAACAACAGAAATTCTGCACAAGCTGTCAGAAACCGTCTCAGGGAAGCTCATCTGCATGCTCGTCGTCCTCATTGGGGGCTCGACCTGACTGCAGTTCGACGTTGTAACCGACTTGAGTGGGCAAATGCTCACATTCAATGGTGTTCTCTTCAAATTAATCCTGGTTTTCACTGTTCAGGGCAGATAGCCTGTATGGCATTGTATGGGTGAGCAGTTTGCTGATGTCAATGTTGTGGATTGAGTGGCCCATGGTGGCGGTGGGGTTATGGCATGGGCAGGCGTATGATAAGTACAACGAACACAGTTGCATTTTATTGATGGCATTTTGAATGCACAGAGATACCTTGACAAGATCCTGAGACCCAATCACCTCATGTTGCAGCATGATAATGCACGGCCCCATGTTGCAAGAATCTGTACAGAATTCCTGGAAGCTGAAAACATCCCAGTTCTTGCATGGCCAGCATACTCACTGAACATGTCACCCATTGAGCATGTTTGGGATGGTCTGGATCAGCGTATATGACAGCGTGTTCCAGGTCCTGCCAATATCCAGCAACTGCGCACAGCCATTGAAGAGGAGTGGACCAACTTTCCACAGGCCACAGTCAACAACCTGATCAACTCTATGCGAAGGAGATGTGTTGCACTGCGTGAGGAAAATGGTGGTCACAGAAGATACTGTCTATTTTTGCCCAAACCCACCTCCCCACCACCCTCCAATACAGTAAAATAGCACATTTTAGAGTGGCATTTTATTGTGGCCAGCCTAAGGCACACCTGTGCAATAGCCATGCTGTCTAATCAGCATCTTGATATGCCATACCTGTGAGGTGGATGGATTATCTCGGCAAAGGGGAAGTGCTCACTGACACAGATTTAGACAGATTTATGAACAATATTTGAGAGAAATAGGCCTTTTGTGTACATAGAAAAAGTCTTAGATCTTTGAGTTCATCTCATGAAAAATGGGGGCAAAAACAAAAGTCTTGTGTTTAGAATTTTTTTTTTGTGTGTGTGTGCGCGCACATGCACGCGCTACCAATACCAATTAAACTCTCCACAGTGCAAATACAAAACTTACTGTTATGCATCACCTGCATATATCAAGCTGGACTTTGAGAGGTCCAAAATGGAAAGCTGAAATTTGACTGTCCCAGAGTGCATTGTTGAGATGTTCAGCATTTTCACTTCATGTCTGGATTTGTGAACCCGTGCAAGCTGTTGATTTCCTGCATGTTTTGGTCAGATAAGTGGTACTTCCAACTAAAGAGGACTTAAAGATAGCGGCCTCAATAAACAAGGGTAAGTCTATCGGGTGTTGGATTTCAACTGAAATTGGAAGTGAGCTCTGTCATCTATAAGCAGTTTTTTGGTTAGATACCTTTTGATAAATAGTATTAAGCAGAGAGTATATTATAAGAGTACACTAGCCAGTAAGAGGGCAAGATTATTTTTTTTGAGAAGCCTTAGTAATGGTGCTTTGATCCAAGAGTAGTCTTTGAGCAATGCCAACATGAATAAATTGGGACATTATCTAGTATTGTGACAGGCTTGATAACAAAGCTGAAAATTACTTATGACCTTGGATAAAGGAGAATTACCACTCATAAAAACTGTCTTCCATACTAGCAGGAGTGTTCACTAAAGTGGGAATTGTCTGAAAATCAATGTCAATTCAAAGTGAATTTCAAATTTAAGGTCAAAATGTCCAGAATGACAATATAGGTGACTTGGAGAATGTTTCCAGTTAGACATTTGATATTTTTTTCAAGTTGGAGAATCCCATTAGGCCCCATCTGCCCACGAAACAATTAACCATCTGTTGCAGCTAGTACTTGCATTCCCAGAGACTCATTCAGATTCAGGAGATCTTAAACGTCAACATAATTAATTCAAGACTGCTATTTTCCTGAACAGGTTTAATTGTAATATTTTGCCGTTCTTGGCTGTTCGTAAATAGATGAGTGCCACCTTCATGCAGCCACCAAGAGTCCACCAGAAAAGAGTCTTCTTTACATATTGTAAAGAGGGTTGTTTTTGATCCGTTCATTATTTACAGTTTATCTAAAATTAATCAGGGCTGCCATAATTAGGACTAAATTAGCTCACATCTGTTATTTTGTTTTCAGCCTTGTGATTGGTTTTACTGCTGCAGAATCTTCATGTGACTATGTCTCGCTCCACTTAAATTGTGAAATACACAAACTCATCTAACACTTTTATAAGCCTCTCTTCACTTGTATACATATTATTTCACACCTTTCTCTGCATTGCCTACAGAGAGAGATTGGTTCTAGTATAACAACATTAATCACGTTGCAGATGTTCTAATGCAACACCTTATACTGTAATTCAAAGATTTCATTTAGAAGACGTTTACTTTAACAGATCATAGACCATTACTACAGACAGGTGTCAGCGATATAAAACTGCACAATGGCTGCTCATTAGAAAGCATCTGCTCTGCAGCAAGCAGTGCACCCTTACGAAAAAACATGTGAAAATAGTGGTGCGAACTTTTAACAAACACACATTTGTAAGAAGTAAAATACATATAAATACCAAAAGGTAATTAGATGTATATTTTAAAATGGCAATCGCTTGTGGACTATGCATGTAGGAGGAAACAACAATACATATATAGTGTAATAAAGTTATGGTGAATGTATCTTTTCTAATTCAATGGGTAGTGGTCCTACTCACACTTTTAAAAAGCTTATGTGGACTTGCTCTCTGTCTGCAATGACTTGCACCTTCAATTCTCTAATCAGAAATACCATTTCCACTCTGAAGTGATCCCATTTACAGTGCACTTTATTGAGCTAATAAAATTGTAAATCAATAAATATGACAGCAGCTTACTTGAACAAGTTGTGAGAGGACATCTTATGCTGTCTCATGAACACACTAAAGAATCAAATCACAGTCCATTTACAGTGCAGGATAAGATCCTCCTGGAGCTCCATCCACCACGCAATGACTTTGTGACGTGATGTGAATCACTCAATTACGGGCTTCTTCAGACGTATATATACATTTAGACTGAAATACAGGTAAATTATAACAATAATGAATGAATTCTCTCAATGAAACCTTTTTTATAATGTGAACAAATACACATGCATGCACACCCAACCACTTCCCCCCCATTCTCTATCTGTTGAGGTTTAAAAAATGGTTGTGCCCTAGACTCAAAACTGTTCTCTGCCAGTTTCGACCTATATACTCAACCCCTGACCCACTGAGACATTGTTCCCTTTTCAACACCATAAACCTACATATAGAAATGTGGGAAACAGACACACACACCCCCAATGGCAGCCCTAGAAGATAGAAAATACACATTTCTGTCTTTTTTGAAGTCTATCCTATGAAGGCTTAATAGTTACATAGCTGAAAAGAGACTTGCGTCCATCAAGTTCAGCATTCCTCACATTTGTTTTTTGCTGTTGATCCAAAAGAAGGCAAAAAAAACCCAGTTTGAAGCACAATTTTGCAAAATTCCTTCTTGACCCCAGAATGGCAGTCAGATTTATCCTTGGATCAAGTAGTTATTACCCTACATTGAAAGATTATATCCTTGAATATTCTGTTTTTGCAAGTATGCATCTAGTAGCTGTTTGAACATCTGTATGGACTCTGATAAAACCACTTCTTCAGGCAGAGAATTCCACATCCTGATTGTTCTTACAGTAAAAAAACCTTTCCTTTGCCTTAGACGAAATTTCTTTCTTCCAGTCTAAACGCATGGCCTCGTGTCCTATGTAAAGTCCGGTTTGTGAATAGATTTCCACACAATGGTTTGTATTGGCCCCGAATATATTTGTATAATGTTTTCATATCCCCTCTCAGGTGACGTTTTTCTAAACTAGATCATTTATAAATATGTTAAATAGAAGGGGTCCCAGAACAGACCCCTTGCCACCTCTGTCCAGCTTGAAAATTTACCATTAATGACAACTCTTTGTACTCTGTTTTTAAGCCAATGTTCTACCCAAGAACAAGCATTTTCATCTAGACAGATTTCCTTGAGTTTGAACACTAATCTGTTGTGTGGAACTGTATCAAATGCCTTGGCAAAATCCAAATAGATCACATCCATTGCAACACCCTGATCTATACTTCTACTTACTTCTTCGTAGAACGCAATGAAGTTAGTTTGACATGACCTGTACTTCATAAAACCGTGCTTTTTGCTGATAACCATGTTCTTCTTAAGGTATTCTTGAATATTATCCCTTAATAACCTTTCAAATATTTTACCAGCCACAGAAGTTAAGCTCACAGGTCAATAATTTCCAGGCAAGGATTTTGAACCCTTTTTGAATATAGGAACCACATCTGCCTTCCTCCAATCTGCCGGAACACTTCCTGAAAGAAAAGAATCTTGAAAGATTAAAAACAGAGGTTCACTTATTTCTACACTTAGTTCCTTAAGTACCTGTGGATGGATACCGTCAGGCCCTGGAGCTTTGTTTATATTAACTTTCTTTAGTTGCTGCAGCACCTTGTCTTGAGTTAACCAATTACAATTATTCTGCAAGTTTTTAGTAGCAATCATTTGCACATCGATTGCCATGGGTTCTTCCTTAATATATACGGAGGAGAAATAGTTATTTAAAATTCCTGCCTTTTCCTGGTCTTCATTAACTAACACCCCTGTTTCAGTTTTTAGTGTACCTACACTTTCATTTTTGGGTTTTTTAGAATTTATGTACTTAAAAAATGCTTTGGTTTTGCTCTCTTTAGCTATAATTTTTTTATTTTGAAGTTTAGCAAGTCTAATTGCCTTTTTGCACGCATTATTTGCTTCCTTACAGGGGCGGACTGAGAGCCTTTGGGGCCCCAGGGCAAAATTAGATCCCAGGCCCTTTGAAGGCCAAATATATGTGCATTAAATAAATGTTAAATATAACTCTCCTATAATATGGCATTCCTTTGGATGTGTATATTGTGAAGACCTGTGAATCAATGCATGTTTGTATCTGAGTCTGTGTGAATGCACTTGTGCATGTCTGGATGACTACATATGCTATTTTGTATATAGTGTCAGTGTGACTGCATATGTGTATTGAGCGTTAGTGCGTCTCTGCATGTGCAGGGGTGTGGAATATATTTTTTTAAATCTACTTGTCCAGGGGTGGAGATGGGTGACAGGTGGAAGAGTGTGGGAGGTGGTGACAGGTGGCAGAGTGGCACCTGGTGGTAGAGCGAGGGGGGGTGACTGGTGACAGAGTGAGGGAGGGGGTGACTAGTGACAGAGGGAGGGAGGGGATGACTAGTGGCAGAGTGAGGGAGGGATGGGGTTGTTGTATAATTATTAGGCCTCTATAAATCTGTAAGGCCCCTTTAAATCCTCTTGCTATACCTCTAAGAGGCCCCCATAGTTTTACAAGAAAGCTTTGTCTATAGAACATAGAATTTTCATGCCAGCAAGAAATAGCTTTGATAAAATGTGTATTTACTAAAAGCCTTGAAACCTAACCTTGAGAAACTAACCGTGCCAGCTACACTCTAAATGGATGGCTGCCAAAGCACCCCTCCCATCGAGTGAACACCTCGTGCTAACAAGATGGCGCCTACATCTTGTGTCCACTCCCGTGTCAAGGATGACATCACCTCTTGATGGGAGGGTACCTAACTAACCACTTAACACCTGGACCAATCAATAGTGTCTATTTGCTGTTATCTTGAATTCTTCAGTGATGTAATAATGCCTTTAAAAGGGTCTGCGCACCCATTTTCTGTCAGAAGCCATTAAACTTCTCTGAAGTTCTTTCATTACCCTGAACCTTGTGTCCCAGTGTGAATTTACTTCTGCGTGCACGCAACTTTATTATCTTTAATTTGGACAGGAACAGATAGTCATTCAAACTAATTGGTTTGCAGTAAATTATCTACGACAGGGTGACTAGTGACAGAGGGAGGGGGTGACTAGTGACAGAGTGAGGGAGGGGGTGACTGGTGACAGAGTGAGGGGTGACAAGTGACAGAGGGAGGGATGGGGTGACTAGTGAGAGTAAGGGAGGGGGTGACTGGTGACAGAGTATGGGGTGATAAGTGACTGAGGGAGGGATGGGGTGACTAGTGAGAGTAAGGGAGGGGACGACTGGTGACAGAGTGAGGGGTGACAAGTGACAGGGGGAGGGATAGGGTGACTAGGGACAAAGTGAGGGAGGGAGGGGGTGACTAGTGACAGTGAGGGAGGGAGGGGGTGACAGAGTGAGGGAGGCGTGACTAGTGACAGTGAGGGGTAACTATTGACAGTGAGGTGACAAGTGACAGAGGGAGGGAGTGGGTGACAAGTGACAGTAGTGACAAGTGACAAGTGAGAGGGTGACTAGTGACAGTGAGGTGACAAGTGACAGAGGGAGGGAGGGGGTGACTAGTGAAAGAGTGAGGGGTGACAAGTGACAGTTAAGGGATGGGGTGACAAGTGAGAGTAAGGGAGGGAGGGGTGAGTAGTGACAGAGTGGGGGAGGAGATGACTAGTGACAGAGTGAGGGGTGATAAGTGACAGAGTGAGGGAGTAACTAGTGAGAGTAAGGGAGGGGTGACAAGTGACAGTTAAGGGATGGGATGACTAGGGAGGGAGGGGTGACAAGTGAGAGTAAGGGAGGGAGGGGGTGACTAGTGACAGTGAGGGGTGACAAGTGACAGAGTGAGGGAGGGGGTGACAAGTGACAGTGAGGGATGACAAGTGACAGAGGGAGGGAGGGGGTGACTAGTGAGAGTAAGGGAGGGGGTGACTAGTGACAGAGTGAGGGAGGAAGGGGTGACAGTGAGGCGGGTGACTAGTGACAGAGTAAGGGAGGGAGTGACACAGTGACAGAGTGAGGGAAGGGGTGACAGAGTGACTGGTGACAGAG